CGCTGATATTCTGCAAAAGCCTTTGCGTCTTCCGTACGTCAGTTACAGCAGTAAAATTATTAAAAGGTAAGAAAACAAGGTAAAGATAATAATTCAATGGAAAAAAATATATATAAATAATAAATAATTCATTTCATTCTTCATTTTAAAAACAGGTCAATGTTCTCGCTAGAGTAGCTCGCTAGGTAGAGGAAGACCGAAGAAAATATGGATGGTATGTGTGAAAAAGGATATGCTTAAGAAAGGAGTGGATTCAGATATGACGGCTGATAGAGATGTATGGAAGAGCAGCATATAATGTGCCGACCCTCCTTAAGGGGTAAGGGGAAGTGGATGATGATGATGATGGCCACGTTCACGTTGACGTGACGTGATAAGAACATACTTACGTTACAAAGACCTGCGAAATCTCCTCCACTGACGGAATCCTTGGCGCAGATCATAGACTTCTCAATGATGTAGTGGTACCTCTCCGGCCAGCGCCGCTTGCAGTGCGCCTTGCTCAGCACCATCGTGGTCGTCTCCATCAGCACTGGCGAGTTGATCGTCTGCCTCTCAAGAGCCTAGAGAAAAAACAAGTCTTACTAATATTATAAACTAACTTTCGCCCGCGACTCCGCGTGGAATTAAAAAATAAAAAAAAACTGAGTAGCCTATGTGTTCTTCCAGACTATCCTCTATATCTATGCCAAATTTAATCAAAATCCGTTCAGCCATTTAGGCTACAAACGCTAAAAAACATCCAGCAATCTAAACTTTCGCATTTATAACATCAGTAATAGTATTATAGGAAAGTATAGATAAATGTTTGTTAGAGTTTGTAGCTTAAACCGCTGAACGGATCTTGATGAGATTTGGCACAGATGAAGAGGATAGTCTGGAAGAACACATAGGCTAGTATAATATTTTTTTTTGAATTCCACGCGAATTTGCGATAGTTAGTACTTAATATAGGAACCTGTTGGAATAACAAAAAAAATACTGGACTGATTTTAATAATTCCTTCAACATTTTTTTTAATAATAATTAATTTATTGTCTCTTTTGCATACATTTCATGAAAGTCTTGGCTCCTGTAGTAGGTTGCCCTGTGTCACAGGAGCCAATTCCTTCCCCAATACTTCATTACAATTCTTTTAATGTCTACACAAAGAAAACAAAAAATACATTACAATTAATGAGTTATTTTAAAACATTGAAAAAAGGTACAAGAAAATTTAAGGTATTAATAACATTTTCGAATAAAACAATTATAATTAACAATTAGAAAGCCATATTATCACTGAGTAACATAGGCTATATTTTTCATTGTTTTAATATTACGCGGATGAAGTCGCTAGCCATAGCTAGTATTAGAAAAAGAGTTTAACAGGTAGTATTAAAAAGAAGACAGATGTTAAGTGAAAGTCATTCCTCCAGATTTTTAGATCCAGAGAAGTTATGGTCGCAGACCATAATTTCGTCTGATTACTGTAGTAGCGGAATCTAAAGTCCTTTTGCTATAAAACGTTCGTTCATTAGCGTTAGTTGACCCTTACCTGTATTGGATCGCCGAAGGTATTCTGTGATCCCCATCCAGCGAGAGTACCCATAGTGCCCGGGGCCTCTAAGTCGATGCTTTTGTTATTAAATTGTATCCTCTTAGGCGAGTACTCGCAGCCGACCACACGACGGTGGAAATTGAATTTGTCTTCCACTTTGACAACCGCGATATCGTTGATCATCCACCGAATGTTCTCGAACTGATCACCGTCGTATTCGTAATCTAGAAACAAAGAATTCGAACAAAATGGATTGTTATTTATCACCTTTCAAATGAACACCTAATTGGTCACTAAGGGATTCCCTTAAGGTCCTTCTAATAACTGTGATGTTCATTTATTTTTGTGTACATGTTTAATTGGTTTATGTTGATGTAAACTCACTGGCAGGAACACACTTCCAGACCGCTTTCATAGCGCCATTCTTAATACAATCGTCATCTACGCCGGGCGGTATCCATCTGCAAAAAAATCATCGACATAAAGATACAAACTTCCGCACTAATAGTCGCGAAAGATTTCTCGGGAATTCGAAAATAAACTTAATTTTGAGGACAACGCCATCTATTGTCAGAAATAAAAAATAAAAGTATCTTATTTTTTTTATTTTAAATTGTAATAAATATTATTTAATAGCTTTCGCTCGCGCATCTGGCCGCGCGAAGTTAAAAAAAAACAGAAGTGAGTAGCCTATGTGTTCTTCCAGACTATCCTCTACATCTATACCAAATTTCATCGAGATCCTCTCAGCAGTTTAGGCTACAGACTCTACGAAAATCCATCCATCCAAACTTTCGCATTTACAATATTAGAAAAATAGTAAGAAGTAAGATTAATTACTATTTAAACTTTTTTTTAAATTTCAATTGTTAAATTTAAATTCACCTGTGTGTACCAGACACGACATAGAAGTGACCAATATTCTCAATGCAGGCGGCAGACGTCAAGATATAATTTTCATGTATAATGACTCCTCCACACAGCCAGTTGCGATCCACCACTGAGTCAGCTTCCCGCGCAGGCCTTAAATATACCTGAAATGTATACAAATTATGGCTAAGGTAAAAAAAATTATGTCTAAAAACCTTTGATTATCGCAAAACTGTTCTGTCTCGCTTTGATTCCTACGAGCTTATATGGAGATGCGCATACTACTCGATTTTTAGTTGTGTAACTAAACAGTTGAATTGGCTCCCACACAATCGATAATCGCATAATAGTTGTGTGATAGTTTAGTCAAAGGTGTTCGACTGCTCTTAAAGTTCCTGACTTGGACTTTCTATCTTCTGTCATGGAAAAAATTTGGTTAAATGCGGTCTACAATGAGAGGCCCTTTTTAGTAGGTGCATTTTAATAAACATAACATTAATATAGAAGACTTTAGAGCCCAGCTAAGGACAGAAATATACAAATTAATGTTTTTTTTTTACCATAAACGGCTTTGAATCTCCAGCTTCGGTACCTCTGAGAATCCTTCGAGTTTTGTTCAGAACTTCTGCAGTGATGTTTAAGCCTGTTATAGTTTCTGTAAAAAAATAATAATAATTGTTTTAGATAGAAGAAATTATTAATTAATGAATTGTATGTAAAAAGGATCGAATTCTATTATAATTGTTAATAGAGATTTTTTTATATTATAAAGTGGCAAACGAGCAAGCGGCCACCTGAATCCGCCAAAATGGCGAGGCGACCGCTGCCCGTAAACATTAACAATAGCGGATGCGTTGCCTACCCTTAATCGAAGGAGGGGACGCACTTAAAGAGGATATTTCCCCTTTCTATGCGTCTCCTCCGCGTGCGTGAAAAAGCGTGCAAAGAAAAAGGGACACTCATCAGACTGTACGTGGGATTGCTCCCACTTCACGCCTGTCTTCTGTGTGGTCATGATATTTCACCGGACGAACCGACCCTACAGAGCAAAGATATTAAAGCGGGCGATAGCACTGTTAAAATGGCAAAGGAAATGGCAGGTTGATGGTGAAATTAATTAGGTTATTAGTGTATCGTTATTTAAGTCGTTTTTTTGAGTGTTTCTGTTATCCGATGAATCGAGGAGATATTCTTACCAATTTTACTAAGAAGAACGAAACTTAATAAAAAATCAACGAATTTCATCTTGTATATTAATAGTAAAATAAAAATATTTAATTCGAAATTTAAAGTCTAATTTCACGCGTGAGCGCGTTGCATGATTGTATGAATTTAATTATATAAACTATGATTGGATTTATCAGATTTATTTCATTTGTAATGAAGTTTTGTACTCTCATAATATAAGAAACAGCTGTAATCGCGACTTTGTTCGCGTGGAATAAAAAAAAATAACAAAAAATGTAGCCTTTGTTACTCACTGATAACGTAGTTTATTAATGGTGTAAGAACTTTTAAAATCGGCCCTGTAGTTTTCGATTTATTTTAATCTTTCCTCTTTTTAAAATTAGTAAAATTAAGTACATTTTAGTTTGATACAATAAATATGATGAGATCCGATTTAAGATAAAAAAAAAATATGACGGCATCTTAGAATGCGTTTTCAGATAATAGATGGCGCTAACTACAATTTAAAGTACGATTGTTATTTTTTAAAACCAATTTAAGTGTTGTTACATTATTTATGCTTAGTTTTTTATTTTGTTTAATATGTCGCATCTTCACAGCTATAATATTTTTCAATTAAATTTTGATTAAATTAAGTTTTGGCTTGTCCGCTCAACAATAGATGTCTCTAACAAAACAACTGTTGTAATAACTTTTTGACACTAGATGTCGGGATACAGTCAAAATGAATCAATTGTTTTAAAAGATAACATAGCAGGCTTGAATGCACAATTACTTTTTTTTATTAATTAACACACTATAAAACATTTAAATTACAAAACTAAAATTTTAATTAACATACTTTTAATTTTGTTTGAGATAAAATTCATTAGTTAGTACACTTTTAATCATTAAGAATATGCTTTCGCCCGCGACTCTGTCCTTGTGGAATTAAAGAAAAAACAAAAATGAGTAGTAGTAGTGTGTTCTTCCAGACTATCCTCAAAATCTATACAAAGTATCATTGAAATTCGTTCAGCCGTTAAGACTACAAACTCTAACAAACATCCATCCATCTAATAATTAGAATTTATAATATTAAAGTATGAACTATGATTATTGTTATAAGAAACGAAATTTTGTGTCTGTGAACTAAACATGAGAATAAAAAGTAAAATACAATAACATTTTCATCCAATAATATCGTAGATCGTAGTTTCAATATTAAAGAAATTGAAAAGTTTTTAAATCACAACTAATAATTATTCTTACATTAATAATCATTCGAGAAAAACTAATAAACAATTGTTTTCTTTTTAAATTAAAAGAATATAGAACCTATAAATAAGGTTCCAATGATTATCTAAATAAAAATAATAAATTACTAAAACGTGACTGGTATGTAATACTTTAGTAATGAAAAAATATATTATAATTTTAAAATATATGCAACCTCCAAAGTTCTTGTTTAAGGCTATCATAAATAAATAAACAACGTAAATTCTAAGCACGTCTCATATTCGTAATAAATCTTATCTATATTTCAAATTCAAATGCAACCGACAATTACTAGAAGCGATCGCCATATTGGAAGGTCTTTTATCGTGCGCAGCAATAATCTAACACCCTTTACCACTCGAACTGTCGCTCTCAATACCATAAAGAACCTATCTTCACCAATACATTATCCTTAGTTATCTGTGCCCATAACACGAAACTTGGGATCTATTTTATTATAAAGTGCATTGTCTGTGCTCGGGTCGACCGCCGAACGTAAATAATTTAACTGTCTTAAAAGATTCAAAAATAGTTTCCTAACATTGCTCCCCCCTTAATATGTACACCATTTGTCAGGCCATAACTGGATTTAAATGATGCCTTACTGTACTGAGTACGCCCTTTGACAAAACACTATCTGGTTCTTTCTAATGCATTATCGCTCCTGTTTCATGCAGTATTGTTGTCTCTTTTGCTCTAAGGTTCTTACTCTGTCGGTACTTGTTTCAGGTTTAATAAAAAAATGTGCTAACATTTCAACATTTTGATGCAATAATCTACTTTAACTCCAGTTCATAAGGTTGAAAATACGTTGTATTAAAACAAAAATACATGGGGAGATCGAGAATACAAGAAGCTAGTAGAAAAGGACGGAGCAAGCCATTCTGTTAAAGTTAGCGACTCGAGGCGCGTTTTTATGTTCGGAAATCGTATTAAGCTTTTGTCGGAAACTGTACCACTCAACGGGGTATAGTTGAGGCGTTTTGTGTGGTTATAGTATAGTTCGATGAAACGGTGGGGGTGCAACTGATTGGGTCGTTTACTGATATTGTGCGCGAAGGTACGGCCGCGGGCGGTCGAGCGTGGCGCCAAAAATATTTCGAAAAAGGAATCGCGCATTCGAATTGTCAAATTAGAAATCATAGACAATAAAAAGTATTTAATTTACCAAACATTTAACAAATCAAATACAAAATTATCAATTATTTTGTAGAAAATTTAACGAACATAAAGTGATTTTTGACATACTATGGTGATAAATAGATACAAAAGTGCTTGTGTTTATTAAAAAGACAGAAAGAAAAACAAAGATGTCATCAATGCATTCAGATGATGACCAGGAGGAGATCAACGTGGACTCTGACAGCAGACTGTCAGGTGCTTGTGACAGAAGCGTCGCTTCTGAAGACAGAGATTCCGAGCACAGCTACCACAGATATCACAATTCTCCAGACGAGCACATGACTGACACTCAACAAAGAGTTAACTTACCATTTAGCATATCAAGACTCCTTGGTAAGCAATTCGAAGACATAGACAAGAGGAATTCTGGAGAGAGTGATAGAAGTGACCAGGATACTGAATCAGAGAGTGCTAAAGATGAAACCAGAGACAATTCCGGGTTGCCTTTAAATTTCTCGCATAATCCAGCCCTGTATCCTAACTCTGGGCTCTTACTCAGGCCAGGGTTGGGTTTGGGTGGTGGCTATGGGTTCTCTGGGAGTCCAGGGGTGGTACGTGTGCCGGCGCACAGGGCGCTCGGGGCTTTGGGTGCGTGGGGTGTGGCGCTGGACCCAATGAGACAGGCGGCAGCTGCGGCTTTCGCTCATCAGGTCGTCAAAGATCGACTTAATGGTGAGTAAAACTTAGTTAATCATTTTACTGTTACGTGTAATGTACTTAATATTAAATTTTAAGAATGTTCAATACTTCATGTTTTAAAAAATAGTATATCTGTGATGCCATAAATATATGCTTTTGCAAAGTAACAAAAAAAAATCCGTTCACTTATTGCACTTAATATATCTACAGAAGTAGTCGTGAGATTTCAGGAAAGCTTTTACTATCATAAGAACCCTCAAGAGAGTATCATTTAATTTTAAATAGCCTCAAACTGTAAGAACTGTATGAGAGTGGTACGGAAATGTTATGCGACGAGACGATGGGGACATAAACCAGAAAGTGTTAAGAATGAATGTGGATGGCTACAAAGGTAGACCGAAGAAAGTATGGTTGGATTGTGTGAAAGAGTATATGCTTAAGAAAGAAGTGGATTCAGATATGACTGATAGAGATGTATGGAAGAGCAGCACATACTGTACCGACTATCCATAAGGGATAAGGCCAAGTTGATGATGATGAAACTGTAAGAACTGTAGGTCTAAAAAACTGTGTAATTAAGTAATCACAATTAAAACTTATTAGTAAAAATTGACAGTGATCTTCTTTTGTACGTTTTTTTTAATTTAAATATTACTTCTTATTCATACTTATTTATATACTTATTTGTTAAAGTTTGCCTAAACAGCTGAACAGATTTTCATAAAATTTGGTTATGTAGATGATAGTCTGGAAGAACACATAAGCTACTCACTTTTGTTTTTTTAATCTCACGCGAACGGAGTCTCGGGCGAAAGCTAGAAAGCTAGAAATTTAATTAGTAGAATCGTTTATTTTACTTTTGAAATTTTTAACTTACTTACACTTCAATAGTGTCGATTGAATAATTACTTTTTCAACCATGTTTCCAAGCACTGAGACTTATATTCATGTCATCCCGTACATTCTGTTTCACAAAATAGAGACAACAATAATGCAACCCACAGTCGAAACCCACAGTTACACAAGTGCAATATTAGGACAAAATTATGACGTCATAATTAACAAAACACGGAGCAAAGCTTACCTTTTTAAAGTGCCTTGTCTTGTGAGCAATGAATGTCCAATCAAAGAGCCATTATAGATAACTTTCAAAATAATTTACATCTGATTCAAGTATCGAGCTGCACGTATCTTTTAGGCTAAGAACTGATAAGGTAGCTTTGATATAAACACAGATATCATCTTCGATGTACATTTAGATTGAATATAAAATTATTTTTTTTAGATAAATTTCTAATGCAACGCATTATCTATCTCTCTTAAATATAAAGTGTGTACTTTTAAATTTCCATTGACAACTGGCACTGATAACGTAGATGTTTTGTTGTTTTTTTTATTAATAGCTGACGGTAGAAAGTATTTTTATCGTGATTATGCAGATTAAAAAGAGAATAACTTTTTAAAAGATATCATATATTTAAGTTAAACGTAAAATTACGTAATACTAAGTGATAATGAATACAAATTAAATTGGAGATATTTATAAAGGTAGCTTTTGTTTTAAGATTTTTGCCCTTAACTAACATATTGTTTGGTCTCCTTTGGAGTTTTAAATCGGCGCTTCGATGACACACTTTTTATGTTGTTTTTTTATGTACTGATTGTAGACGGCTCGTGGTCGGTAATTTGTAGCGACGGGCCGCAGCGGAAAGCTTTGGGGTCAAATATTTGTTTCGGTCGATGTTAAAAAAAATGATAAGAGTGATTCTGGTTCTAACTAAATGTGACAAAGGTAGAGGAAGACTGAAGAAAGGATTGTGTAAAAGACATGCTTAAGAAGTGAATTCAGATATGATGGCTGATAGAGATGTATGGAAGAGAAGCACATACTGTGCGGACTGTGAAGGAATAAGGGCAGGATGATAATGACTAAGATTGTAATAACCTTTGAGGGACGCGCTAACCGTGTGTTTTATAATTAGTTACTAGGATGTTAGTTAATTAACCTTTAATCTCTTAAGCATGAGGAACCCTTGGGCCCATTTGCAATTAAGGGGCCGTGATCTTCCATCACAATGGTCCCGGGAAGATAGTGTCAAAGTGGTACTATGTTACCTTGATGTTACGGGCCATCAGGCAACGTCCTGTTTTGTGTGTGCCACAGAGATCCCGGAACTCTCTTCTATTGCAGTAGACGCTACCTACCGAGGGGTTTTTAGTGGGTATCTTTTTAAAGATTTCCCTTCCGATACAAAAAAAATGGTGATAATTAGTTATGCAAGTCTTATAGATGTAGAAAAGGACCTCGAAAGGCCTATTTTATGTTAATGTTATATTTAATAATGGCCAAAAATGTTTCAACATAGAAATACAGTTTCGAATTCATCATCACGTTATTTTCGGAGAAAAAAGGCCCTGTCTCGGATTATATAGAGTCCCCAATATAAATTATAATAAAAGTGTTGACATTTAAAAAATAAACTTGTAAAACGGTAAACGACCAGTTTGAGTGTTGTCAGTTCTATGTAAATTAGGTAAATGAACTAACAAATCGAAAACAAAATTGCTCGATAAATACAAGTAATCGATTCAAAATTTTACGACTTAGTGATTGCTTAGGTTATATCCGAATTATCAGTGCATTAAAGGGCGTTTTAGTGTTTATGGTAATATGTTTAAATTTTATGTAAATTATAACCTCAAACGGGAAAAGTTTATTTAAAAAACTACGGAGTATTGACTGCGATAAAATACCTATTTTGTATTATCTGTGCTTGATGCTTTTTATGTTTTTTTTTTTGCGACCACCGGGGCAGAGGAAGCGCGGACGTCCAGCCTATAATTGAGTCGATAGACTGTCCCTTCCGTGCGTGTGTCGGAAATACTTAAGAGATGACGAAATTAACCTTACTCATTTTAGCGCCAATAATTTGACAGGCGCATTTTTTTCCCGCCACCGATTATCGTCGGCGTTCCTTTTGTTGACATTTTTATTTTTAATACAGATGCAAAATTGTGGTTTGTTTTTGAAATAATTTCTTGACTGTCTCCTTTTATATCTTTTACACCTTTAATACATAGAATGAAATATTCTAGGATTCTTTTCATATTTCATGTTAACTTGCTATTTTTTCAATAAAGTAAAAAATATTACCTTTTAAAGTAATTTAGATACGAAATGCGTTTTAAGTTGTTTTAATGTAATTATTAAATCACTGGCGACCTACGCATTTTGAATTTTGGGCTCTCGTATATCTTCGGCATGCGATAAGTATCTTTTATTTCGATTTTGAGGTTACTTAATGATTTTCATCACAAATAATGTTATTAACCAAAAAATTCTATTCCAAATGTTCATAGTAGGTGATATAATTTGCATTTAAAATGTCCAAGAGATATCATAGCGTCATTTTTTATCGAGAAATCTATGTTCGATGCCTAATTATGATAAGATGTAAAAGATAAAAAAAGGTTATGTGAATTGAATACATAAAAAAGTTTGGAGGAATCATTACGAAAATTATGACTTTAAATGTATTTTAATATAAAGTAATTTTACTAAATAGTTCATCGAAATAAAAAAAAGTTGAATATACTTTATTTTATATTAGCTAGTATGTAATATTTATATATTATTCAACCTCTTTTGTCGCACTAAAGAGTTTATACCAACTATCAAAGATGACGTACTGGCCACATTCACGCGGCGTCACAAAAAGAAGAAAGTAAAGAAATATGAACCAAATGAAAAATGAAAAACAGATTTAATCGTGCAAATTCAGCCAGTGTAAGTTAATATTAAAATAGCGAATGAAACTAATATTTGGTAACAACGGTTAAGAGCTGGTGCACACCTATGACTAAACTATCGCACAACTGTTATGCGATTGTCGATTGTTTCTCAGTTAATTCAAATGTTTTGCACAAATAAAATCGAGTATGCGCACCTCCATATAAGCTCATAGGAATCAAGCGAGAGTAAACAGTTGTGTACTAGTTTGGTCAATAGCACCCTAAGATTTATACAAAAATAATTATGGATATTATAGAAACAAAGAGAAAATGTACTTAATGTAGTTTTCAAGTATTTTATCACGTCCTTTCATTATTCTAACAACAATAAAGATGTAATGCGCGGATAGACAGGGAATAATTATTTTATTTGTGTAACTGAGCGTTTTGGAGCGTATCGCACGGTTTCCGTCGGTTTGCGGTTGACGCGCTTTTTACGACGCTCTGTAGTAGCCTGTTATACTCAAGAACTTTTTGAGATTGTTTACGATAAAAGAGATTACAGTGAGACAAATTTATCTGGCTCGTAAGGGTGTACCGCGGTTAGTTTAAAAAATAGGTAAATCCTACTAAAGAATGGAAAGCGACATCAGACAATCAGCACGATATCGTGGCTGTTTTTCGGCCATATTATAGCACGTATTTCACGTTACATTTCCTATCTTTATTGGTACATTGGCAGTAGATAGTGGAAATACACCTTAAGTATAACAAAATCATTGGAACGTTTCAGGGAATCAATAGAGAGTGTAATTGGCCTCTCAATGATCTCTGCCGGTAATGGCCGGGGCCGTTTCCGCTTTCAAGCTATTATAGGAACCGCAAAATTTTACCTAACAGGCATTTTGCCTCACTTTGACAGAAAGACTTCGTTAACCGATTTTGTCCAAGGAACGATTTTTTTACTGTTTATTCAGTTTTACAACACATTGAATGGTCATCATCTACTCTTTTATCATGTCCTTCTTCATCTTTAGTAGTCATATTTGAATTTACTACTTTATACATATCCTTTACACTGACCATTCATACTTTAGTACATCTGTTGTCCCTGCAACTATCAACATGTTTGCTTGCAACTTTGTTTTATTTTTTTTAACTTGCAAACAACAACACAACCCTTTTTCTTCCTACCCTCTTATACGATAAGGATGGTAAGGGAACGTGGATTAACGCTAGAGACGCATAGGAAGGGGAAATATCAGCTTTATATATTTTTTTATATAATACGAGGAGGCAAA